ATATGAAAGCATATTCTGTCAGGTTTTAATAAAACGGGAATTTTTCCTCTTAATAGACATTTTTTCTGAAGCTGACTTCATTGACAGTTCTGTGACTGGTAGACCAAATGAAACTGATCAGCCAAATCCACAACCAGAGTCGACAAAAATGTCTAGTGTGCTTTCCAATCAAGTTATGTCATCCTCATCGAAGATAGATGAAAATCAAGAAGTATCCCCAACAAGGACACCTGAAAAACGAATAATGTCTCAAAACTCCAAGTCAATTATATCATCTGCGAATTCAAGTTCTTTCATCTCCCCTTATGAGTGTAAAGAATTTCCAAAAACAGAAAAGAGAAAAGTTGTGAAGGCAAGGAAAACTAAAAAGAGTGTAATTTTAACTAACACACCTGACTTGTTAAAGCAAGTAACAACCAAAAAAAATTACTCCTCAGAATAATAAACGAATTAAGGTCAATTTAAATAAGGAAAGCAGCTCAGTACCAAAGCGGAAACAAAAATAAACGAAGTGATAGCACTTCATCCGAGGAGAGTGAAGAACTAATCGATTACGATAATTCTTCTGGCGATGAATGTGAAAATTTACAGTTGGAAAACGATTATTAAGTGTGAAATAAAAACAGTCCCCATCTAGAGCAATCCAACGACTGCAAATATGGGAAAAGATAACTAAAAACAGTAAATGCTAGGAAATGCAACTATAATTATCCTTTACAGTCAGTTTTGCCATTTTGAAGACATCTAATTAGTAATAATATACATATATGTTGTTTTTATTCCAAACTTTTATTATCGGGAACATTTTGAAAACGAAAAATACACCAACAACTACAACTGGTTCATAAATTGGTCTTAAATAATTTTGAAATAGTTTCAACTCTGCTATAGTATTAAAAATTACATATTTCGATATATTCAGTTGTAAAAATAATCAGCAAACATTTTAAAACTGTTCAACATCGACATAACATACAGTAATCACAGTAGACTTACAAAAATAATTTGAACATTTTATCATAAATTGCACAAAAAAAACATATGGCGTTGTTGTTAAGTTGATATGTTATCAACATCCATTTGATTAACTTAAGAGTCCTACAACTCTACAAATATTTTTACTAAAAAACTAAACGGGATGACTAATGTCAGATGTAAATACTTAGGTTATCAAAGCACCTAGTCCAGGTAGTGTACCCTACAGTACATTCAACCAAATTACACCTCTAAATGATTAACAGAATTCGCAGAAAATCTTTCATTGTAGTAAACTGCACTGGAGTTCTCCATAATGTTTAACACTTTTCTAAATTTTGGGTATAAAATTAATCTAATAATATGTGTCATTAACCCGTTGTCATAATTGTGCATATTTTGTTATTTTTTTTTTTTTAATAAATATATCTTGCATAATATTATTTAACGTAAATTTGGGGACACATTACAAGAGGCGAAAGATATGAACTGCTTCGAATAATTATGCAAGGGAAAATAGCAAGAAAAAGGTCCATAGGAAAAAGACGAAACTCCTGGCTAAAGAATCTACGGGAATGGTATAGCTGCAGCAACAACGAATTGTTTCGGTCAGCAGTTTCGAAAATACGTATAGCCCTGATAATCGCCAACCTTCGGAACGAAGATGGCACTTGAAGAAGCAGAAGACTGAACATTGACATACTTGGTTGCAGTGAAGTTAGAGGGTCCAATTTAGGCCAGTGCGAAATAGAAAACCACACAATATACTGCTGTGCAGATAGTACGACATGAAAAAAAAACTGAGTGCATTGACTTATCTGATAAAGAAAAATTTGAAATTTGAAATATTGGCCAAAATAAGAGAAAGACAATTTTCTGATATTGAAAGGACTAGCCTTTGAAAAGTCTTGAGAGATTTAGGATTTAAGTTAAAAAAAGAAAATAATAGGCTGCTTTTATACAAAAGGAGTAGTGTGGTTCACAAAAGAATTAAATTTTTGAGAGAATATACTAGACTTAAAACTGAAAATGCAACATTCGTATACTTGGATGAGACGTTTATATTTGCAAAGGATGGAATTAAAAAAATTTGGCAAGACGTCATACAGGAGGGAAATAAGGCTTTATAGAAAACGCAGCTTTGCTGAAAACATGAATGCAGATATGTTTGTTAAATGGCTTGTGGAGAAACTGTTACCTAGTCTGACTGAATCATATATGTCTGGGGTATATGTAAAACATATTATGATAATCACGTTAGATGCAGTGGATACATTGACGATGCAGTTAGGGAAATGTGGCAAGAAACTGCAACTCCAGAAATATGGACCAAAATTATAAATAAATATGAAAAATTAATAGAAATTAATTGAATTTTTTACCGTAATACGACCAGCAGTCGAGTATGGAAGCGAAACATGGACAATAACAAAAAGAGAAGTAAATAAACTGCTGGTGTAGGAACTTAAAATTTTTCGAATGATATATGGCCCTTGCAGAGACAGCGTGGCAAACGAATGGAGGGGCAGATACAATAACGAGCTAGTCTCTATTTGGAAAAGAAAATCTAGTCAGATATATAAAGGCCAATAGACTTAGATGGGCAGGACATGTGATACGCAGTAACGACAATCGCCTTATAAACAATGTGTTCTGAGAAACGCCAAATGGGAGAAGGTCTGTAGGGCGGCCTAGAAAAGGTGAAAATATGCAGTCATAGAAGATCTAGAGAAAATGGGAGTATGACAATGGGAATTACTAGCACAGGACCGACAAACATGGAAGGCAATAGTAAACGCGGCAGAGACTCACGAAGAGTTGTAGCGCCATTGATAATGATGATGCTTCTCATTTTATACAAATTAACTCAAACTGATAATACAGGCAAACATATTCTAAACAAAGTAAGTAATTAAAAATATTATGGAGAACTCCAGTGCAGTTTACCGTACCTTTTACTACAAAGAAAGGTACAATAATCGTTTAGAGGTGTAAGTTGGTTGAATGTACTGTAATAGAATCAACAAACTTAAATTTTACAGAATATGTAGTGAAGTACTTGAGTATATCCAAACGGTCAGGGTGAACAGTTTTATTTCTCAGAAAATAGTGGGGACTTCAATATCATATTGTGCATTGCTTTACGTCTTGTGAAGATATTTTTAATCCAAGAACTTTGGAGAACTCTCCATTGTATAGTTTATCTCACAGCAGTTTAGGGATAATAATAAGGAAAACATGGGATGAATTTCTCCTGAAATTCTCCTTCTATTGGTCTGTTTTTTCTGAGTTAATCTTAGAACAACTTAAATTATTTTTACTGTTAGCTCTGGTTCTTCATTTTCATCTATCAGGAGTTCCAAAAGTAAAGCTTGTTTTTCTTCTAAAATTATAGCTTCAAATGAAAACTATAGACAAATGTTATTCACTCTATAGCCGCTCCCAAATTCCCTTTTTTATAGTTCTGGTTTGCGCCTGGCTTGGAACAGTATGGGACTTTAATGTATGGCAAGAATACTGCAACGAGTTCACACGTGACATCTTAGCTGCACAATACTAAAAAATCTATGAGCCACAAAAAAAATAATGTAAACAGGTCAGCTGCGTAGGGTTGTAGGACTCTCGCAGAAACATGTAAAAATGACATGAATACATTTCAGTGAACTAATTTCATTCTGAAATAGTAATTTCAATAAACCTACCAGTCTTGTAGTAGTTTTTGATTTTAAAGATAGTTAAAATATACAAATCAATATTTTTTAAAAATAAATACATTTTTAAACCATTTTGTGGATATATTTTATTTTACTTATCTATTATTGTTTTTATTTACCAACAATTCTCATAGAAGAGTGTATGTTGGCGTTAAAATCTAGCAAAAATCCAATGTTTTCACAAGAAGTATGTCTCCAGAGAGAGTTTTTCTCTTCTTAACTTAAGTGATGCTAATTATCCGGTACAGGATATTTGACAAGACAAAGTTCTGTAAAACACTTTACATAAGAACTTCACACGATGTATTAAATGAAAACGTGGGAAACTTAAACCGAATATTGAAAGTACTACATAATAACATTAAATACGGTACATTAAATCTGGTATATAAGGACTTCACCCGGTATATTAAACGTAAACAACGGGAAGTCACACAGAACATTCAACATGTTATATTAATATTGTCATAAGGTATATTTAAACTGTTACATATGACGCCACAAAGTGTATTGACAGGCAATATGGGAAAATTTAAACAGAACTTTGAAACCGTTAGACAATCCATTAACATGTGTAAATATGGACGTCACATATTATATTGGAAGTAAATAAGGAGAAGTCACAATAAGTGTTACACAAGAATGTCACACGGTGCACATGGATGACGTCACACAGTTTATTCACATACGGAAAAAATGAAATAGAACATTGAAACTGTCAAAATTACACGGAATATTGACAGTGTTACACGGTACACATGACATGACGTCACACAGTTTATTAATATACGCGAAAATTGAAATAGAACATTGAAACTGTCAAAACTTCACGGAATATTGACAGCGTTACGTAAGATTGTCAAACTGTAACATAAATACAGTCACCTAAGAACATAATACGGTACATTGTTAATAGGGACGTCTCACGGTAAATTCAAAGTAAATAGGTTGAACTCACACGGAACATTGAAGCGTTATATAAGATTGTCATACGGTACGTACATTTTAAACTGTTACATATATGGACGTATCGATATATATTGAAAAAAAAGCACGAAACATTTAAACCGTCACGTTATACACAGGGACGTCACACGGTATATTGAAAAGTTGTACAGAACATTGAAAGCATTACACAAAACTTAGTACAATGCATACAAAAGCGATAAGAAACTCAGACAAAAATCGTTAACAAATGACTTATCAAGCGGCAACTTTCATTTGAAGTTTGACATTTGAATTTTAGTTGAAATAAATTGGTTCCATCGACAGAAAATATGTTCCGTCTACAACAGAATTTGCAATGCATTGTACGCTTGTATGCATCTTACTTACGTTAATAAACTGAATACACATGTTGTTATTATATAAAATGAATGGTTAAACGAACATAAATTTAGTCGGAGTAAATGTCAATCATTCACAAAATGGCTTATTCTAATAGACTAAACACACGTGGTTAACTGAAACTTTAAAAATGTGTAGCAATGCCTCTAAAACTGGCAGCTACTTTTTATTCTTATATAGCCAATAACTATATAACAAAGATCAGGTATCTGGTGGTGGAGGTGGTGGGGGCTGTCTTGCAGTACCAGAAGTGCTGCACGTTGGAGTTGGAGGAGAATCGCTTCTGTCACGGCTATCCTGATCCTCCAAAAACCTGTCCATGAAATCGGTTATTCCAGGATGGAGAACGTATTTCTTCTTTTCCAATCTTGTTCGGTTAGCGAATATATCATGTCGTTCGGATTTTTTCCACAAGTAGTAGAATTGGACGAGTTCTCCGACTGATCGTGTACGAACCTGAATATATTTTACATTAATTAGTGAAAGAGAAATTAATACACTACCGTTGATTTAAATTAGCTATACATAGTGTGATCAACCCCAATTCAATAGAATTCGGGACAAGGCTAAAAAAATACCTGAAATCCGGGACTTTTCAATGAAAATCAAGCCATTTTTTATTTTTTTAAACAAGGACTGTAATACTATATTTTTATTGATTATTTAACATTTTTATGGGGTGTATACTAGTTCGCTCCCGCGGTCAGATTTTAATACGCCACAGAAAAGTAGCATTAAGGTAAATTCGCTCCGGTCATATATTTCTTAAAAAAGATATTTGAATGTCTTCTCAAACTTTGTATTTACCTATTAATACAACACTACCATCATTGTTTAAAAAAAGAATGAGTCTTTTTTAAATAATGCTCCTATACAGGGTGTTTCAAAAAAAGTAACAACGTCTCTAGGGTAGGTAAAAAACTGAAAAATAATTGGGGTTTGCTTAGTAAAAAATTTTTGTAACGCCATCCGTTTTCAAGATACAGGGCGTTGAAGAAAAAAAAAATTTTACGCATTTTTTACGATTTTGCCGAAACTACTGGCAACATTGTAATGAAATTTTATACGAATATGTTTTGGAAGCTGATACATCCGATGAATTTGTTTTTATATCTGATTTTCATAGAGGGCGCTAGTTACACGAATCGTACTAAATATTAGTTAATATAATTTTTTTAAGAGTATAATTATTAATCAAAATTTCAAGTAAACTTAAACATCATTCAATTTTATACGAAAAAGGTACTCTTGGTAAAACTCGATACTGTGTACCGTTTTCTGAATATTTTGATTTGAAAATTCTGAAGTAATAATTGATGCTGGTAGTAATGATAAAGTTCTAATAGGTATACCTCTATTTTCTCCAAGTATGCCATGTAAATCTGACATTTATTGATTGTTATGACGATAAATCAACAATAATTAGACTTTTGAAACCTTGTTATTTGTAAAATCAAATCAAAATGTACTCAAATGTTGAATACACTGACATGTTATTAACCTTAGGCGAATGTTTAGGATGTTCTAGTGCAGCTGTGAAACGTTATGCAGAAAAGTTTCCTAGAAGAAACTTACCAAGTAAAAAAACATTTAGAGCCATTGAACGACGTTGTCGAGAAACTGGGAATGTGAGACCAAATAAAATAAATTCTGGTAGACCAAGAACAACAAGAACAATTAATAAAGAAAATAATATTTTAAATTTACTAGATCAAGATTTAACAGTTAGCGTAAGGAATATAGCAAGACAAACAAATACTTCTTCAAGTACTTGGCGGATACTAAAAGAACAGCAATTACATCCTTATCATTACAGACAAGTTCAAGAGCTCTTGCCAGATGATCTACCGGTTAGAGTGGATTTTTGTGAAACATTGCAACAAAGGACAGCCCACAATAAAAATTTTTAAATGCATTCTTTTTCGGACGAGGCACTTTCGCGACAAGGTATGTTTAACTCCCATAATGCAGACTACTAGTGTGATGAGAATCCACGAGTCAAAAGGGTATCACATTACCAACACTCATTTAAAGTTCATGTTTGGGCAGCAACTTTAGGTAACAAATTAATAGGTTATCATATTCTACCTGTAAATTTAAATGGTGATATGTATCTTGATTTTTTAAACAATTCCTTATTAGAGATATTAGAAGATTTACACGATGGAGCTCCACCACACTTTGATAGAAGGTGTCGTAATTGGTTGAGTAATCATTTTCCGAATCGATGGACTGGTAGAGGTGCAGAAGCTCCGATTCATTGGCCCCCCGGTCATGCGATTTTAACCTTTTGGACTACGCAGTTTGGTCGTATATTAAGGAAAAAGTCTATGCTACAGTGTATTCGCAAAAACAGAGGGCATTTTGAACACTTACTGTAATTGAATTTTATTTTATGTTTTTAGTCATTAATTTAATTTTCTTCTTGTGAGTTTTGTTTAATTACTAACTATTTTATACCACCATCAATTATTACTTCATAATTTTCAAATTAAAATATTCCGAAAACGGTACACATTATCGAGTTTTACCAAGAGTACCTTTTTCGTGTAAGATTGAATGATATTTAAGTTTACTTGAAATTTTGATTAATAATTATACTCTTAAAAAAGTTATATTGACTAATACTTAGTACGATCCGTGTAACTACCGCCCTCTATGAGAATCAGATATAAAAACAAATTCATGGGATGTATCAGCTTTAAAAAAAAATTCGTATAAAATTTCATTACAATGTTGCCAGTAGTTTCGGCAAAATCGTAAAAAATGCGTAAATTTTTTTTCTTCAACGCCTGTATCTTGAAAACGGATGACGTTACTAACATTTTTTACTAAGCAAAGCCCAATTATTTTTCAATTTTTTACCTACCCTAGAGACGGGGTTACCTTTTTTTTGAAACACCCTGTAGAAGTAAAGAAAATATCATTTTTATCATTAAACAAACACTTACCTTTTCTTGTTGTATTCTATGGAAATTCTTTCCATACGCCCTTACACCAGCTTCGAAATTTCTACATTCTTCTTCGGACCAAAGACTCTCTTTCTTCTTCTTTTCGGGAGAAACTGCGGGTGCGGACATTTTTAAACGGCGTAATGCTTCCTCAACGTTATGTCCACATTGTTGCAGCATGTACAAGGCCTCCTCATCGTCACGAAGGTTTATTCCTAAAAATTAGTTTTATTCTACATTTTGTTACAGACTGATCAATTTCGTGTGAGAATAGATTTGCATCAATTAAAAGGGCAGCTCATATGAAACAAGAGTAAGAAGGTTAAGACAAATAGCCCAAGTAAATATGCTTTTTTTCGTAACACTGATCCAGCCAGGCAAACGACAATTATTATTTTGAGTTATATGGACCTATAACAAAAATCTAGTATTGATGACAAAGATTTATGCCTAATTAAAAATTTATATCTACAGCAAAGGGCAACTGTACGAGTAGACAACGAAACCTCACAAGAATTCACGATAAAACGGGGAGTACATCAGGGCTGCATTTTGTCACCGACCTTGTTCAATACTTACTCGGAAATGCCGTTCAGGGTAACTATTGATGGTTTAAGAGAAGGTATAAAAATCAATGGTGAAATCATAAACAATTTAAGATATGCGGACGATACGGTTTTGATTGATAATGCGGAGATTCAATAAGGAATGGGACCACTCACAGGAAAATATGTCATATAGAAAAGGCGAGAGCTGTCTTCAATTGTGTCAGGAAGATATGTATTTTCTACCCTTTTATATGGAGTCGAAACCTGGACCTTGACGGAGGCAACATCCAAACGATTAGAATCCTTCGAAATGATACAATACTTGTATCTGTTATGTAGTTAAATAAATACTCTACTCAAAACAACTGTCGATTTCCTGACCGGTTCAGTGTCACAATTTCCTTGGCCTAAAAGTATGTGCTTAAGACTTTCCTTACCTTGAGGTAGACCTGTTTTAGAAGTTCTAATAGCAGAAACCTTGCGCAGGAAATCGGAAACATCGATACCCTCTAAATGTGTATCATTGGGGTCCCAAAGGAGTTTATCTTCATTTTCATACGGAAGAGCATCATCATAATGAGAAAGTCCTTCTGGTATTTGGGCCTGGTAGTCACTACCTACCATAATCGTCTATAAAACGCATAAATAACTGTAATCATTTGTACAAGTACAACAGGACAAAATGTACAGTAGTCAAACTGATTTGTTACTGTTTGAAATATTATTTACTGCACCAAAGCTGTTTGACCTACTCTACGTTTGTCCTCTTCAATAACTAGAAACCGTTCACCACTATATACTGGTTGATTTGAATTCCATTAGAAAAAAAAATTATCTGATACAGCCAAATTAGAAAAAAATGTAAAAATTTTTCGTTCAAATAAATTCATATGATGAGAAATTGGAAATAGTGACAAATGAAACGTTAACTTTTTAGGAATGCTGATTATGATTTTATGTTTACATAAATGTGACCATTTCCTTGTGATATAATCCTATGTGCAAAAGTGCAAATTGTCAAAAAGGCAACTTTTTAAAGCTTTAAGCAAAAGCAAGTTTGTGTAGCAGGTTTATTGTCATAAGATTAATTTTTTCATGCGGGTATGTTTTTCTTCAATTCAATGTGGTCATTATTTCTTACCATATTCCAACTTATTCTGCGCTTAATTGGTTTCTTTGGAGATGTGACACTTAATGTCTATATTATACAGCGTCGGAAATATAAGAACGGAATATAACATGATGGGTGATTGTAATGCTAAAGTGTGAAAAGAACCTCTGTACATAACGATAATGGTCAAAGACTTATTGGATTTGCCATATAGAAAAACATGGTGGTGAGAAGCACACAACTAAAACGAAAAGAGATATACAAAGGTACGTGGGTCTCCCCTGATGGAAGGAGGGTGAATCAAATAGATCATGTTATGATTGAAAGTAAATATAAGAATATCATTCAGAAGGTAAGAAGTATGAGAGGAGCTGAAATCGACTCGGACCATTACCTCGTTAAAGTCAAATGTGGGAGGAGGCTGGAAGAAAAAGAGAAATCGAACAATAAAACGAAGAGAAAGTACAATATTGAAAAACTTAAGGAAGTAGAAATAAAACTAAATACGAAAAAGAAATAAATAAAATTCTACAAAAATGTAACCAAAATTTACAGACAGATCAAGCCTGGGAACAAATTAAATCTGATGTAGGAGAAGCTAGCGAGAAAATAGTTAAGTGCGACTCCAAGAGAAGTACAAACAAAGATTGGTTTGACGAAGAGTGTCAGGCGATAGCAAAGGAAAAGAAGAAGATCAGACAACAAATATTAACAGATAATAGAGAGTGTAAAAAACAAGAATATAGAATAATTCGAGGAAGATTGAAAGCTCCGTGTAGAAGAAAAAAGAGATACCACAATGAGTTGAAACTAAAAGAGATAGAAGAGAAGTTTAAAAACAAAGAGGTGAGGTCGTTCTATCAAGAAGTTAAAAAGATGGTAAAAGGTTACCAAAGCCACTGACGGAATGAAAAAAAAAACATCTTGAAGAACTATTAAATGGTGAGGTGGACCACGAAGCAGAAGACAACCGGACGGTTGGAGAAGATGCGATAGTTGAAAGGCAGCCTACAGAGGAGGAGGTGGTGACAGCGATACATGAAATGAAAAATAACAGAGGTCCAGGTAAAAGTGACATATGCATAGAAATGATCAAGTTTGGTGGCGAACAACTACAAAGAAAAATATATCAGCTACTAGTGCAAGTATGGGAAAAGGAAATAATGCCATCGGAGTGGTAAGAAGCCCGCATATGCCCACTGCATAAAAAAGGAGACAAACTAAAGTGTGACAACTATAGAGGTATAGATATATAAACTAAATTGCTACACGGAAAGAATCCTACATGAGTATCAGGCCGGCTTTAGAAAGGACAGATCTACTGTAGACCAAATCTTCTCATTAAAGGAGATACAAACGACTTGTTATGAAGGTAAAGTTCCCCTGCATGTTTTGTTTGTGGATTTTAGACAAGCATATGATAGAGTAGATAAAGTCAAAATGTATCGAGCAATGGAATATTTGGGAATACCAAAGAAACTGATCCGGCTAGTAAAAATGACACTAAATAACTCTAAGTGTGAAATTACGTGGCAAGGTCACATATCAGACCAATTTACGGTTGCAAAAGGCTTGAGACAGGGAGATCCTTTATCCAGTACATTATTCAACTTAGTGTTAGAAACTGTAATTAGAAAAAGCAACATGAAGGTGGAAGAAACAATCATGAAAAATGAGCACCAGTGCTTGGCATTTGCTGACGATTTAACGATCCTAGCAAAAACCGAGAAAGGATTAAGAAGAGTTGTAAAGAAAATCATCGAAGAAGCACAAAAATTCGGATTGGAACTAAATGAAGACAAAGTCAAATATATGATCATGGGAGGAACAGAAGGGAAAAAAGAAGACTTTAGTGTGAGGTCTGTAAGTGGTAAAAGCTATAGTTTTAAAAGGGTGGACAAATTTGAATATCTGGTTGTAGTTTTCGATGAAAATGGAAAAGATGAATGGGAGCTGGAAGCCAGAATAGCAAAAGGGAATAAAAAATTAGGAAGTTTAAGACCCCTACTGAACTCAAAATACGTTTCTAGACAAGGTAAACTCAGAATATATAAAACAGTAATTCGACCCACAGTAACATACGCCGGTGAGACATGGATATTAAATAAGAAGGAAGAGGATACTCTGGGAAGATGCAAAAGGAAAATACTGAGACGGAAGACAGAAGGTGGTTGGGAGAGAAGAACCAACAATGAATTAATGGCTTTATACAAAGAACCTACCATTACCAAGTTCGTCAAGTCACAAAGAATCAGATGGTTGGGACATGTGGAAAGATTGGAAGCAAACAGAATGCCCAAACTAGTAATAACCAGAAAACTAATCGGCCCCAAAAGAAGAGGTAGACCCAGTACGAGGTGAATTATTAAAGTGGAGGAAGACCTTAAACACGCGAAGGTGAGGGACTGGAAAAGAAAAGGACAAAATAGAAGCGAATGGAGAAATATTGTCCACCAGGTCATTCAGAGTAGTTAAGAATGTTGTATGTACATATTTAGGTTAAAGTTTTGTTTAAAATAATTGTAATTAGTTAATATTAGGATTATGTTTACAAAAATTGCCCTAGGCCTTAACGGCCTGTTGTGCGTAAAAATAAAATAAAATAAATATAACATGATACCGAATGCTCTGATTTCAAATGAGATAGACAGATTATAAATTATATCGACAACACTATGGTACAATCATAGTGGCCCCCATTACAATCATATTGAAACTCTGCACCCACTAGTACGCAGACTCAAATGTAAGTGAGAGACAGATCACCTCTGATACTCCTAGAGATGCAATAGTAAAGGGTACCCCTCCCCCCTGTTAACATAGGCAAAATGCCATCATTTTCAGAACTCACTTTTTTTTATTTTTTACGTTCTAATTACGAAGATCATGGAGAAGGTATTGCTAGGAGATAAAACAAACTACAGAAATGTGAGGGCTCCATAAAGTTTTTTTAAAGGACCCTCAGATAAGTATTTTCTCGCATCAAAAGGAGACTCTGAAGTGAATTTTCCTTAGTCTCGAACAAAACTGATACTATACACAAAACAGTACTGGAAACCGTAACTATGGTTCTAGGGACAAAAAGAAGTTGTAGATGTTTGATTATTTTTCTTTAAATAAATATTTTATTTCAATTTCTTTTGATTTTACTCATCTATTAATTTTCTAACTCTGCCTAAAACAAAAATCATGGTGGTAAGCAAGAATAAGATTGAGGAAGACAGTGTTTATGCTAAAGGATAACTTTTAGGCAGGGTGCACAGATATCAGTATTTAGGTTGCGAACTAAATGAAGAATTGGATAGCTAGAAGTGCTTTTAATAAGATAAAAGCAATATTATGCAATGGAAAACTCAACGTTGAAATTAGAACTAGAGTATTGAGATGCTACGTGTTCTCTGTTCTGTTGTATGGAGTTGGGGCTTAGGCAATTATAGAGGCGACAGAGAAAAGATTCATTAACTTTGAAATGTGGTGTTATCGAAAAATGTGGAAAATATCTTGGACACAACTTATAATAAATGCGGAAACTCTACGAAGAATGAAAAAAGATAAAGAAATATTCAGCACTATAAAGAAAAGAAAAATGAGCTACTTTGGTCACATACTAAGAAAGGAGAAATACGAATTGATGCAGCTGGTCATACAAGGGAAGGTGGAAGGCAAAAGAGGACCGGAGAGAAGACAAAGAATCTGAGACAATGGAGTGGGAAAACGTCAATAGAACTTTTAAGAACGGCTGCAAATAGAGTCAAATGGGCCATGATGATCGCCAATCTCCTTAGGGATGGAGCACGTTAAGAAGAAGACTCTGAATGTATTTACAGAATGGTTTTTAAACGTAGAACTTAATATAAGTCTCCAGAATTGCTCGATGCTACAAATCTATATCTGGTGAGTGAAGAGCTCGATATTTGACAATCTCCAAACATTTTATTTACATACGAAAACTGTTTTTAGTCGAATCTAATCGATGCAACATAGTTTACTGATATGAGGACAATGAGCACTGAAGTATCCTTGCACTGACACAATTTCCCCAGAAATAAAACTGTGTGATGTAGTATCATTGGTTCACATATGCACGATCCATTCTGTATTAAAACAAATTTGACTGCAATCAACACAACAAAATAATGTTATTCTTTCCCTGAAGAAAGGTTATTACGATTTTTCTTGGTAAAACTATTATAGTACTTAATATTGACGAACAAAAAGTTTCAGTAGCCATCTTGTTCTGCTGAATTGCCCAAAAATATGTTGTCCAAATCCCCATATATTTTCTATGTACTTTATTTTAGACAAACGGGATTAATAGTTACTACTGAAATAAATATTTAGCAAATTAAAGCCATTTAATATTTTGTTACTTGTTTAACTGCAAAAACAAAAAATAAAGGTATGTTACTAGCACAATTATCACTAAAATATTATAAACGGAGCAGTAGTGGCATTATCAAAGTAATACAATGTTGCAAGATGTATATGACGTTCATTTATTGGTTAGAGTTCCAACTCT